GGGCTGGCCCGTTTTGCCATCCCTAATTTTATGTGATTCTTGAGTGTAAATTGGAGCCCCAAATGTGTACTTTCTAAACCAACAATTAGAACTCAATTTCATTAATCACACACAGAGAAGTCACATAAATATCAAAATATATTCATACTAGAATTTTTAGAATAAGGCATAACTCGCACCCAAACTCTTTTCTCTTAATCCAATTGGTAAGAAGTCTTCATAGGTTATGTTACTTCTAAAAGACATAATTTACACATACAAACACTATCCTTTCACTATCATCACAACAAGTTCCCTTAAGATTTCTCACAAAAACCCGTAGGAACCTCAAATCATACATATTTTCATCCAAAATATGAAATTAATCATTCGTTCAAATAATTCATGCAATTAATTATGAGTGAGAAGAATAGGAAACAAAATAGAAACATTAGGAGAAACCCCTTATACATAAGCACACAACATACATAAGATTGAGGTCCAATCTCACTATCCAGCATACAAATCCACACCTAGAGTAAGGTTTCACACTCCCCTTCACCTGGATAAGCTCTAGATATGACAAGTACATGACTTTAGAGTGATTTCCTTCTTGCTCCTATTCTCTGAGCTTTGAAATTTATATGTGAAAATAATCAGAAAACTCCTCTTTTAAAAACTTTAACCTCGCTTTAATTTAACCTTATAGTTAAACATATTAAGCTCATTTATCTTGAAGATTCAATCCTTTTTTAATAAGATATTATACTATTCTTTAATAAAATCATATAATATATTACATAATTAAAACAAATATTTAATAACCCCTATTAATAAAATAAAAATATCAAAATTATTAATAAAATGTTTAATTATATTATATTTTATGAAAAATGGGGTGTTATAAATTTGATAAGACAATATCTGTTAATTATCTTTCTATATTCAAATATATGTGAGATTAATTAGTTGAGCTTTTTACTAACAGGTTACACTACAAGAAAAACTGTTAGTATCTACGAAATATTATCTATGGAATTTTTTTCATAGATAATATTTAGTTATCTACGGAATATTACCTACGAAATTTTTCTATAGATAATTTTCAGTTATCTATGGAATATTATCTACGGAATTTTTTCCGTAGATAATGTTTAGTTATCTACAAAATATTACCTACGAAATTAGTGATCTACTGAATATTACCTATGGAATTAGTTATTTACGAAATATTACTTATGGAATTAGTTATCTAAGGAATATTACCTACGAAATTTTTTTCGTAGATAATGTTTAGTTATCTACGAAATATTACCTATGAAATTTTTTCCGTAGATAATGTTTAATTATCTACGGAATATTACCTACGGAATTAATTACCTATGTAATATTACCTACGGAATTAGTTATTTACGAAATATTACCTATGAAATTTTTTCTGTAAATAATTTTTTAGTTATCTAAGTGATGTAAAGAACATTTGGTAAAAATAAATATTATTAAAAATTGTCATTTTAAATTTTTTATTTTTTATAAATTAATGATGATAAAAAATAACATACTAATATTTGGTTTTAAATTTGATATGAAAATATTATGATATAATTAGATAATATTTTAAATTAGTATTTATTAATGGTTGATAATTAGAAAATAAAATAAGAATAAATACATTTTTTGAATTTTATATCATAGATTTAAGATGAATAAATATATTAGTTTAATTAATATAATTTATTTAAAATGTTAAGATTTAATTTATAAAAATAATATTTTAAAAGAGAAGGGTTATAATAATACCAGTGTAACTTTTACTAAGTATTACACCGCTCAATAACTTTATATTAAATGTAAATTTTATAAATTCAACCGTAGATTGAAAACTTTTTACTCTTAGCTCATATATACAAAATTTTATATTAATTCAAGATGATTTGATACTTCATTCTTGTAAAACAAAATTGTCGTAATATATACATTTCAAAATATACTAAAATATAAACACTTTGATTACCTTCAAGTTGTTGTTAAATTGTACCAAAATTTGATATAAACATATAAAGTGATATGAACTTTCAATCTAACGGTTGGATTTACAAAATTCACATTTAATATAAAGTTATTGAGCGGTGTAATACTTAGTAAAAGTTACACCGGTGTTATTATAACCTTTATCATTTTAAAATATATAAATTATCATTTAAACTTTTAAATTTATAATAAATAATTTAAATTGTATCATAATATTAATTTTAAATCGAAATAAGTAGATTGTTAATTATACAAGTAACTATATATATATAAATAAAGATTAATTAAATATAATATAATTATTATTATTGGTACTATAATTATTATATATATTTTTATATTTTTATAGCGGTCTGAACACACCAAAATGAGAGGATCCAAAAATAGTATAAGTATGAGATTGGATGACTTAAATGAATTAATTTCTACTACTTATACTGACAACATGCATCTGCTTTTCGGTAGCTTATCTCATCAGAACTCCACAGTTAAGTGTGCTTGACTTGGAGTAATATAAGGGTGGGTGACCTTCTGGGAAGGTTCCCAGAAAATGTGCATTAATGACAAAACACGTTGAAAAGTGAAGTGTCATGAAATAGCATCCTTGAGAGGCCAGAAATGAGAAACAAATTTTTTTGAAGGGTATCTACGAATAAAATCCGTAGATAATAACTATCATGGGTTATCTAAGGAAATTTTTTCGTAGATAACATTATCTACAACAAAAATTCATAGATAACAACTTTCGTGGATTATTTACAAAAAATTTTCCATAGGTAACATTATCTACGACCTTATTACCTACGAATTTTTTTCATAGATAATTCGTAGATAATTAACACTTACCTGCAGACTTTCATGCTTATCTAAGGTTTTTTTCTGTAGATAATGCTGATTTTTCTTGTAGTGTTATGTGTGCAGGTGAGAGTTAGGATTTTGTTTAAATACATTAGTAGTGTTAGGTCTACCTTACATGCGATCTAACTGTACACTGTGATCTGAAGAGAGAAGCGAACCAAACGTACTCGAAGAGGAACTCGAACAACAAAATCTTGAAGCTAGCGTCAATCAAGGTAAATGGTGAAGTGAGAATCTTGCTTTGAGGTGTAAGGTAACTATTGGTAGCGGGATTGATCACTCCCAATCCCTATGATGTGCATATGTATGTTGGAGAGGAATTAAACATGATCCTTTTTATGAACCTATATGAAATTGAATGTTTTGTATACGATAAATGCGTGTATTGATGTGTTCATTATAAGAATTGTGAATAATTATGAATCTATGAGTGTGTGTGGGTTCTTGGGGGAACCCTAAGGATGTATCTAAATCCTCAGGTTGGAGCTAATTCATAATAATTGTAAATTTCATAACTAAAATATGGATTAACTAGACTATAGAAATCCTTTTAACCGATAAAAATCATAGAAGCCAGATATTTGGAAAAAAAATCATGAATTATGCAGATTAAGTTTTACTGATATTGCATCGTCGGGTGACAACTTGGTCTCGTTAGATGCGGGTAAACCAAAATGGTCATGGCCTCAACATGTCGAGAATGCAGGCTTGGTCTCGTCAGACATGAAAGTTTGAAATACTTGTACCATTGTTAACACTATAAGCATAATCATGCTAGGTGTGAGAGCTCCAAAGGTCCTCTAGATGCATCTCGCTAGGCACGGGGAGGATCACGTCGAGGCTGATTTCCTTCTAGAGGTGTGGCCTCACACGTGTTAGGTGTAGAATGTGTCTCATTGGATGTGATTCTTTGTTTGAACTACTTCTTATGTATGTGTATGTGTTGGTGATTTGTGTATATAAATAGTGTGATAAGTGAAAGTGATATGTGATGAATTGTGAAGTGGTAAAGTGATAAGTGATAAAACATCATGCTCTATGAATGATATATGATAAGGGAATTTGTGTAGTAATGCATTGAGTTTTGAATGTCATGCATCATTTGCATGGGTACGCTGTGGAATATACAACTAGGAAAGGTCATTTCTTGTAAAAGTTTGGGATTAGTCCTTGGAGATAGTTTGGTTTGGGAAGCCTCAATCTCGCCTGTTGTGTGCATGGAGCGTATCTTGTGCAAATACACTATCCCAACAAGACCTCAGAAGTATATCCTTTTAGTGAGAGTGTTGTGATGACTTGACTTGGCATGTACTCCTATACTGCTTAGCCTTTGGGCAGGGAAAATGTTTTTATTGATGTCACATACATATAGTTTAGGAGAGTATAGTCTATGTATGGTCATAACATTTTTCTTGTGTTTAAACTTAATTTTGATTGATATCATGATAGAATAAGTTATAAACTGAGTTAAAATTATTATATGGATTGATGAGGAGTTTAATTATTGGTTTTATATACTGTTTGTGTGGTTATTTGGCCTTATTCTACACCAATAATCAGACATGTTTCACTCTCTTATTTTTCTCCTGGATGTTTTATATGTGATTGTATAAAACTTCCTTTTTGGAGGAGTACTGTAGTTGATCGAAGGGAGATTTCTGATACCTGTGATATATTGAGGATATTAAATTATGTTTCATGTTTTTTATTTTAGGAATTATAGTTTATACCTCCTTAAAATGTACTTTCCTAAAAGGTATTGAAGATATTAAACTACTTATTACATATTTTAAGCAAAGTATGTTTTAAGGAAAGTAAACTATAATTCCTAAAACAAAAAACAAGAAACATAATTTAATATTATTAGTATCACACGTATATCATATATCTCCTTTTAATCAACTAGACTCCACCAAAAATTTTTTTTTTCTACAACCACATATAAAATATCCACAAGAAAAATTAGAGAGTGAAAACATATCTCCCTCTGATAATCGGTGTAGAATAAAACCGAATAACCACACTGAAAAGAGTTACTAAAGTCACATTAATTACTGTGCCACAATGTTAGATGATAAATAAAAGATAAAGGAAAATGAAAATACAAAACATAAGATAAGCTAAGCCTCAAGGTTGCCACGATCACGTCCTACAATGATTTTATTTTTCTTAATACTATACATTAATTCCAACATAAAAAGTAAATAAATACATAAAAATTAATTCCACTTTATTCATAAATTACCCACATAGTTCTTTAGACTAACCACACATGCCATAATGAGCTCAGTTAAACCTTGTAGATTCAATCTACAATCTGCTTACAATTTGGGAATCGGATCTATCAGCAAATCGAAGACATTCCCATTCGTCATCATTGACATTCATGAAGTATTGATCCACTATTTCGTCATCAACCAACTCTAGTTTTGAAGGCACCCACTATTAACAAATGAGAAAACACGAAAATAATAATAAAAAAAGGTTTAAAACAAATATTTACCCAGCAATATATCCGTAGAAATAAAACTGAAGATATCTTGTACATACCTTGGGTTTGTTATCTTTATCAATCAGTTTTGCTCTTGTTCCCTGTGTGCTCGTTTTGAGTTGAAGGAATGGAAGAATTATTAGACAAGTAAAATTAAATTCTCCATCCTAATTCTTTGTTATTATGTTATCGTATCATTCTGTCAATATCCTAAACCAAGAGATCTATCTAGTGATCAGTGAGTTGAGTAGGGTATTGATATTGTATTCTCTTTTGTAATAAGTTTGATTCTCACACACCCAAAAAAAAAAAAACCTACTTAGAACATAGAGAAGGAACTGAGTGGGGTTAAATACGTTTTTCAATTTCTCAAATTTGACACACACATGTTTTCTTTCAAATTTAAAATTGATTTATTTAGCTTTATAATTTAAAACAAATTTGTTTAGTCTCTTAAAAAAAGTCATTAGTGAACTTGTCACAAAAAATACACCTGAAATTGTCACACAATAATGATACAATTTGTTTACCGTAATCTTTGCTACCGAAAGATCACACTGAACAAACTTGATATTGTACAAGTAACTTGATTCGTTCCTACTAATAAAGTGATGCAACTATTGGTTGTGACTTGTGAGGAATTGAAACAACTTTTTTATAAAATAAAAGATTAATTTTAAACTTGAAACATCAAAACACACTTACCTAAGATAATAAATATTTTTAAATTAAAAGAAAAAATAATAATTTAGTTAATTCATTACAAGATTTTAATATAAAAGTAAGGTAAATATTTAACAATAACTTAAGAGTCCAAGATAAAAAATTAAAAATAATTTTTTAATTTAAAAATATTACTAATACATGTCATCATAATTTTTAGATATGTTAAATATATTTTACTTATTTAAATTTTTGGTCAAATATAATGTTAGAAAAATCAACTCCTTTAAATAAAATAAAATTTAAAAATTAAATGTGTTGACAGATCAACTTATCTTGTCATTTGATCCAATAGGTTAGCCATGATAGGACAAGTGAATTGAAATATTTACTGTTTGTGGGTCAGCTTCCATGGTCATGACCTAATTTGCCACTTTTAATAGGATTATAAATATGTTAATTAAGAAATTAAAAGTAAATATTAAAAGAATATATATGTAAGAAATTTTGAAAAATATATTGCTAAACTTTCCAATAAAATACATTTATTTTTTATTTCTTAATTTTCTTAAATGGAGTCATCGAAATATTTACCTCATAGAAATCATTGCCAAAAGTTCTTCTTAGGGCATGGGAGCAAATGTTATAATCTCTATGAAGACATTGTTCAAGGCTTTGTCCCCGGCCTTCCCTGATCTAAAATGCATCAAATTCATTACTTAATCGGTACTCATGAATTGCGAGATTTGCACAATGATTAATGTATTGCGTGAATGTAAATGAGTACAATATTACAACATCTACGTACCTTTTACTCCTGTATCATATACATACCACCATTTCTAAATTTTAATGGTGGTTTGAGTTTGTTTTGCATAAACCAAAAAATACAATAAATTTTGAAATTTTCATAAAACAATTTTGAAGACCTATTATGTCTTTTATTTTAAAAAAAAAATAATTATACAATAATTACATAATAGTTGTAAATATAAAAATTAATTAAAAATTTGATAGAACAATGATATATAATAATTTGTATAATAAAATTTACATTAAATATCAGTATAAATTATCAAAATGAAACTCTATTCCTACTAATTCGAGAAAGAGTAATATCAAACTTATTAAGGTCATGTTAATTAGTGTCTTTAGAGCATTAGTTAAGGATTCCATATGTAAAACAATTACATTAAAAATTACTAGAGTCACGCGGAAAAATGTATAGATATATACTTTTTTTAATAAAAAAATGTCTACTACCTAATTCACATTTTCCAACTTATTAAAGGAAGCATAACGATTCACATACAATAATATTTGTATAACATCCTATGTGACGGAGGCAGGTAAAGAAAATTTTTTAAGGGTAAATACCCCTTAATGTATTATTAGTGTTTTTTTTTTTATAAATAAAGTCATATTGTGTGAAATATATGATTTTATTAAATATTAATATATATTTTCAACATAAAATTTTAATTTAAATTAAAACATAACATCATCCATACATATTGTATTATATCGAAGTTTTTCCAATAGATAAATACAAAAAATGATGTATATTTTCCTAAAAATTAAAGAATTACATTTTTGTTAAAAAAATTATATTTGTATAACATATTTTTTGTTTAGCTCTCTCCTTCATTAATAAATATAATAAATGAATAAACATAAAAAGTTAAAAATAATATTTTACAAATTATTTTGTTTGTATCATTATTTATTTTTATCATTAATCTTCCTAGCTATATCCTTGTGTGAGAGTATTTTTTGGTATAGTGTAGTTTCTAATAAATAAGTGTATCAAAAGGTTAAGTCATTAAGGATATTTTGTTAAAAGAAACATGACTACTACATCAAAAAAAAAAAAATTGAATGTGTGAAAATAAACTCATTAAGAATGTATAGAGAGAGATAGATAGATAGAAAGTATATGTTAAAAAAACATGACTACTACATCAAAAAATAAAAATTTGAATGTGTGGGAATAAACTCATTAAAAATGTATATATAGAGGGATATATATATATATATATATATATATATATATATATATATATAGATAGATAGA